CCATGACGCGGGAGATTCGCGGAATCCCAGAGCATCATAGTTCCATGATTGCTCCGTCAATTTTCGCTGCAAAGTTTGGCCAAGTTGATTCCGCAAGATCGTTCTTCACAGATGGATCACTAATAGAGGCGTCCGCTGGTTTTGGTATTTATAACGAATTTCATAGCGCCTTTCGAATGGTTCATGCTCCTTGTTCCGTATATGTTGCTGAACTGGCGGCAATACATTATACGCTAGAAACGATCGCCTCACTTGCACCAGATCATTATTTTATTTTTACGGATAGTCTCAGTTCTGTCAGGCTATTCGCTCTATGAGGCCGGTAAAGCACTCCTCGTATTTTGTCATGAAAATACGAGAGCTTCTAAGTGCTTTATCTTTAAGATCTTTTGTCATCACCTTTGCATGGGTCCCATCTCATTGCTCGATTCCGGGCAATGAGAAGGCGGACTCGCTTGCAAAGGTGGGCGCTATGGAAGGCGATATTTACGATCGACAAATCGCCTACGACGAATTTTTCTTCATTTATCGTCAACAGTCACTCGCCAGCTGGCAAAATAAATGGAGTGAAGGGAGTTTGGGACGATGGTTATATTCAATTATCCCTAAGGTGTCGAAGTGTCCTTGGTTCAAAGGTTTGGAGGTGGGTCGAGACTTCATTCGTGTGATGTCTCGCCTCATGTCCAATCACTATTCACTAAGCGCTCACTTGTTCCGTGTTGGGCTGGGGGACAGTAATCTCTGTGAATGTGGACAAGGTTACCAGGACGCAGATCACATTATTTGGTCATGTGCTGAGCACCGTGGAGTCAGATCTGAGTTGTACGATTCCCTTCGGGCTCGAGGTAGACAACCTAATGTTCCAGTTCGGGATATTTTGGCTAGACGCGATCTGGAGTTTATGCAACTCATACATGTTTTCTTGAAGAATATTAACCATAGATTGTTTGATTAACCTTGTGTTTAGTTTGTATTTTGTATGTGTGTGTGTTTTTTTTTGTAGATTTGTTTCTGTAATAATTGTATAATTACAGAGTTGATATAACGTCGATAGGATTAAGTATGTGTTTTAGAAATAGTGAAATTTTTGAATCATAAATCATATTCCAAATCTCCTTTACCCTCTCCCGATCCAAACAATTGTCATCCACTAACCTCGAGAAGACCGCGAGTAATCGGTTCAAATCCTTTAATTTTAGATTTAAGACATTTATACACGCAAACCAAAAATCTATTACAATGAATGTTAGTTCCATTTCCTATCATCCTCTGTTCATGAACATCGCAGTGAATGTTAGAAGTTGACCTTGCAGGCGATGTAATGGTTTTTTGCCTTTTTTATTTCGTGTTCTGTCTGTGCTTTCACCTACACAAGCAAGCATTTGCCTTGATTTTTATGTATAACATGGTAGAACGACGTACACCCTTGCCTCGAATCTCTCCAGCAGAAAAAGCATACGAAGTCGAGTGTGAGAGGAAATGAGCGCTTCTTGTTTGCTTTTAGGCTATCCTTATTCAGAAGCATGGAGAGAGTAGTGGAGAAAGCACAAGTCTGATAATCGCAACGTTCGTTGTTCGAGTCCAGTCGGCAACCTTTTTCCTATTTTTTTTACCTCACTAATACACTCTACATTTTTCGGTCTCCAATTTTCTTGCATTGGACCGCAGCTAGGTATATCGCATCCTCGGTTCATGCGGTCTCCACTTACATCCTCTGATGATGAATCCCACATAATTGTAAGCGAATCTTACATCCACCGGTTGGGTATAAAGAAAATGATAACTTGGCTCTGTAAAGTTTATTCGATTGAGCCTGTACAAATAAAGTAATTAACAAAAAAAAAAGTATATGTTTTTCTATTGATGCGTATCATTTTTGCATAAGCCCTTTTCAAGTGTTAGTCGTGTACAAAACTAGGGAACCAAATATGTAAAATGGCATGTTGGACAATTACAAACAACTGTGCAAAGTTTCAACATAATCGTAGAAGGTCGATCAAAAAAATTCGTCATTGAAATGGAACTGCTGATATATAGCAACGCTTGGGCCGGTTGCTATCAAGCTGCTATATTTATCAACCCGCTGTTTACCGAGACGCAGATTGTTGTTTCCCGCACTTGAATAGCAACCCCCAGTTCCGGTTATTGCGTTATGGTGGAGGTTGCTAAAATAGCTTTAGCAACGCATTGGTGCGGGTGCTCTTAAATAAATTGAAGTAAATTTAGGTGCTCTGAGACTGACATATACGAGCGTCAATTTAGACATAAAATGAAGTCATAATAGACGCAAAATTCAGCTCAATCAAACGTACTTTCGAACTTTTCAGTATCGCAACACTTAATTTTACATGACATGTTTGTTTAAGCCTCATCTTTTATGTCAAAGATGGATTCCGTCACGTGTAAGATTAGGTATTTCTAAGTGTGTAGTACTTAAAAGGGACATAACATTTCGGGAAGTTTACCTACACAGCTAAAAAAAAGTAGTGTGAATTTCCGTTACTATGATGCACATAAATGGAGCGTCATAAATCATACAAATTTACAATATAAATCGTGTAAATTTATGAGACATGTCATGCAATATTCCATATATTGTATGCAACTTTCCACCTTTGTTTGCAACATTTCTTGCAAGCTGCTAGTTTACGTGAAAAGGAAGTTTACATGCATGAATGTTTGCATGCATGGATGTTTACATCACCAGTAAAATTCAGATTTTTTTAGTGTGTATCAAATAAAAAATCTTTTGAGGCCTGTGGAGTAAATATTTCAAACCTTGCAACAGCCTAAAGACTGCTTAAACTCTATTCTACGTGCACCATTTCGAATTCTCCAACTGGACATCCGGCGTGGGTGGACTGCCTGTGGTGTCCTCCGAGCAATTCCTACCATACGATATTGACACAGCCGATGATGCCATCGGCGCGTGGTCTGCTTCTGTAATTGGTTCACGAATATGCGATGCGAGCTGTAGGCCAAAAGCCGAAGAGGCGCACAAATTAAATTATGTGACGAGGATACGAGTATGTTATTGTGTGTTTTCCATAGGCGAGCCACTAGCAACAAGCAGCATGTATTTTACAGGGTGATTTGGAATAACTGGCACTTAAAAAATGGTCATAGCGATTGAACGCTTGCATGCATTTTTGTTATCAGTATAGACCTTTTTGACGTTTAATCGTATTTCTCTATCCAGCCAACAGGGATGAGTGTATGGTTTGTTTTCCCACTAATCTGTTTCCCTCTTGCTCACACTCTTTCAGTTTAAATGGTGCATTAGTGTGCGCCGATTAAAAGTCAAAAAGCTCTATATTTCAGTATACTACATCCTCCATTTTCACGTCCAGGGCAGCATGAAATCGAAAACGAATGAAACCTCTAATCCTACTACCAATACTACCAATGCTGACATTTGTACACACTTTAAAACAAAAATGCTATCATTTTACCTATTGAGAATTCCATAACAGATAAATCGGTGACAGCTACTCCGAATCACCCTGTACACATTCCGAAGGGATTTAAGGTGTTTCGCTGTGAGATCCTTATTCCAGTAATCACTTCGAAACTTTAAGTGCACAAATATCAGCTTCCACGACACGTACTGCAATGAAACTGCTACTCTACGTTTGCTGCGCTGCAGCATACATGCAGTAGCAATTTCAGGTGAAATGGGGCTCTAATTTCCGAGGTTTGTGTAGTTGAAAATTTGAGGTGGATGTGAATTTATAGACCATTTTTGGACTCTAAAAGGAATCACCTTAAGGTCCTTGACTCTTGAAATGTACGGACTGCGTATGGAAACCGATCTGTCGAGGCTGGTGGGTGAAAATTCTGGCAAATGGTTTTGGTAGTAAATGTCGCCGACAATCCTCGGATGAAATATTTGCCAGTTAATGAAATTGTCGAAGCGGATTCCAGCCGGAGTGAAAGATGCTGCTGAAGAAATGAACCATAATATATTCTTACGTCTTCATAGGGTTTTGTATACAAATGATATATTTATGGGTCTCTAACAAAACATAAATGTTTTAGTTTGTAACATTCTAAAGTCTTGTGGTACCATATGCGTGATAATGTTTGCACCATTAAACACTGTAAAAACAAATAAAAAATTATGTGTGGATAAAAATCAATTTTTCTAAAGGAATATGTTTGTAAGAACTAAATCCTATGTTTCCAATGTTTCCAGTTCAGAAATTGTGCGGATAGTATATTTAATCATTATATTCTACATACTATCAAAGTTACCCTCATTATCAAAGATACCCCTTTTTACAGTACTGATAGATAGCACAAAGTTTTGAATTTTTCAGTTCCAAAGAAATTTAATTATTTTTATAGTAAGGTTTACTTACAGATTTTGAATGAAAATACTGCACTGAATTTTCAATTAATCGTATTGGCATAGGTATCTTGTTTTATTGTTGATCGAAAAATATAATTTGAGCAACTTAAATATCCATTGTCAACAATGCATCTCCCAGGCAATTGATTTATCTTTCATCTTCGAGTATTGGGCCAGAGCGAAGAGAACCCACCATTGTTTTCCAGTGAATGTAAATTACATGCACTGAAAAACAATAACAAGTTCTGTCCAGTCTAGGTCGTCATCAGAGGGTAGAGAAAACCAAGACAAACGCAACGGAACAGGTTCTGATTGTAAACCCTAGGTTCTCACCAGAAGCAGCCCACCGCAAATTGCACTCATTGCTTTGCCCTTTTTCCCGGGTGGCACGTGCCCATTCGTCTTCCTTCTGCAGCGAGAGGGTCAATGCCCGTGTCAAGGACTAATCTGCACACAAACAACAGCAAAGGAGTCGCAGGAGGATCTTTCATTTTTAGCGTTATGTTACGCTTAGATCGAGCAAAGCCCCTCTTATCTCGATATGTGCTACAAAATCAGAGAGGTACCTTGGTGCATGGTTTATGGATGCAAACCAAAATTTTCCATTTAGTAGTTTCGTGTTTTTTTTTAAATTATTTGTTGCCCAACTCCTTTTAACAGAGTTGGACGAGAAAAAAAATTATTTCAGACTCATTAGAGTGTCCCTCTCCACGGAAATCTTTAGTAAAAGGCGAAAGATTTATTCGACAATTGAAGAGAGACCAGAGTGACGATTGCCATGATCCTGAACACAGGTCTTTGAAGCAAGCCTCGTTCTACTAGTGATTGACTTCGTATATAAAAATCAAATAAGAACCTCAAATCACACACAGTGAACTTATAAAACATCTACCCAAAAACAACCTGAACCGGCAGCCATGTGTAACGCCTTTTTCCCCCTATAATTTATTTTGCTACCGCCAAGGCTAGCAGCACAAGCGTACTTACACTCTTGTATGGTCTGCCTGCGTTACAGTTCAACCAACAAACGACGGATTTCTCCCTTAAGTTAAGGTGAAAAATGTGCTATAATAACAGTTTCTACCGTTCCCCCACTTTTAAAACGACGATCACTTGCCTGGCCAGTGGACTAATATTAGGCTATTTGTTCGCTCGCATCGATCAAAACAAATAATCGATCAACCCTGTTGGTACTGATCAATCTATCCAATGCCATATCAAGTAAGCAGTAGCAGTTTCGACCTGAAGTACCTATAAGCAGATTTTAAATACGTGCAATGTTAAGGGTGAGCGTGATTTATGTGTAGTATTTTGTATTGTAAAAGTACAGAGCAATGCGGAGCATATCGTGAAGATGTGAAGTTGATTACATTCTGCTAGGACAGAAAATTCTAGTCATAGTTGACTTTATACTGGTCTCTAGATGAAAAATCTAGAATATACTTATGTCCTAACATGTCAGTTTTTTATTAACCCTCACAGTGATATTATTCACGATCTTGGTCATTTACAGCTAACCTATGCATGTAGCATTATTTTTATGCAAAGGCATAATTACACACTGGATTAGGTCCTAAGTAACATTGAACGATTTTCTTTATCGACTTTTTTTCAGAATAGATTTTTTCCGAACACTGGTGAAAGCATAATTGTCCTATGTGCATATGAAAATCCATAGACAATGTGTTCACCGGCAGTAAAGCCTTCATTCGTTTCTTGTGATTTACATAACATTTGAAGTTTGTTATTGATATGTTAACTTTTATGGTAATTCAATAGCTCAACCAGCTCAAACAACTTGCACGAATTTCAGTTGTTCCTGAAATATCGTACTGGTAGATGCTGATGCCCTATTTACATTATGCTGGCTACTTTTTAGTACAGTTCTAGTATTTATAAATAAATAAATCAGCACAGTACAGTACAACACATCGGTACGTGCTTCTAGCGTGTGTTGATAGCATATAAATCGTAAGTGGTTGTATAAAGGTTAATTTTATGGGTGCGTCGCTATGTATGTATGTATGTGTTGTGTGTGTGTATGCGTGTATAATGGAAACCACGTAGACGCCCTCTATACAGACTTTAGCAAGGTATTTGACCACATTGACATACCAATGCTTCCATTTCAATTGCGAAAATCAATTGAGTCTAGGTTTTTGATATGGCTTGACTTGTCAAAAGTCTATTAGAATTGAACGTAAAACAAAAAACATCAAACATTTCAATTGTAATAGGGAAATCAAAATGTATAAACATGTGAAAGAGTGAGGGATTTAGGAATTATTTTAGTCTCCAAACTAACTTTCATATACCGTTATAACAAATCATAAATAAATTAATAAATAAAGAAATAAATAAATAAATAAATAAATAAATAAAGAAATAAATAAATGAATAAACAAATAAATAAATAAATAAATAAATAAAAAAATAAATAAAAAAATAAATAAATAAATAAATAAATAATTAAATAAATAAATAAATAAATAAATATACTAATTAATACTAATAAATAATTCAACAATTCCAAAATCAATGTAAACATAAACAACTTGTTGGCTGTTGATTTCGTAGCATGTCACAACAGTACTCTTCACTCAAACTTTAAATATTGTTACGTTTTGGAATATGAGCACATTCTGCATGCTAGCCTTTTTTTTTATTAGTGCAAACCTTTTGCACGTCCCTTTATTTTTGACGTGCAAACACACATGTATATGTTTCTACTCGTCTGTGCCTTGTGCTGCTCTCTGCTGCTTGCTTACTATCAGCAAATTTGGTCACTAGTTTGTCTTCTAAGCAAACTTTCAGATGCTACCTCAGAACAAGCCATGATAGGTACATAAAACAAGATAAAGAGGTCACGAGCTGGTATCTGGTTGTTCTTCTCGATGCACGAGAATATGCCGAATTAGTTCGATATACTGACACCGTGGCACATACCATGCGGTCAGCTGTCTGCACTCAGCTGGACACTCGATCGACGGCAGAAAAGCTTTTCGGGTGAGAATCATCTTCGGGCGTAGGGAGTTCATCCCACCGAGAAAGTTCCCTATGTTTCCTCGCCATTCATCTGGAGGGTGTGTTACTGTTCGTGAGTTCCTTGCTGAGAGCCACCGGCCACGTGGACATGCGCAACGACGCACTGTCGCGCCAATATTCGACCTACAGATAGGTATGGTGATTTGATAGCAACATTTATTGCCATTATGAAAAGCCAGTCAGGCGACAGTTGGGGTACGACGGCCACATGTCGGGTAGCTGTCTAAGAATGTAAGCCAGATTTGATAAATTTCGTGTCACGTGCAATAATTCTTTCCACGCACGTATGCTGCACCGACGACGGGTGGCGGAACGTGTTGGTGGAAGGACATACCGTGCCGGTCGTAATATGGTACACATTTTCCTAGGTCGTTAAAAGGAACATTCTTCGTTCGGAGAAAATTACAGACGACAGGGCTGTACTTATTTGTGACGGACAAAACGGGTTGGCGTGTATGTGCATAGATCCGGTTTGCGTGTTTGGAACTTTCAATCGCCTATGGTGGATCGTAATCTGGTTATGAAACTTTCTGGAGCGGAAACAATTGCTTGTGCACATTTTCTAAATCGACCAAAAATTAAACAATTAATCCTTCGTACCGCGAATCACGACTCCAAATTGCTTATAGTACTGGCTGCCGGTAATTTATAACCATTTCTACGCAATGGATACTTGTTGCTGTTTCTGAGCATCACCGGAGGGCGTCATGTTGGCTTTTGGCTTCCGTTTGGAAGTGCCATTCAACAAGAATGCTCGGCAACGCTTAGGAGGGAGCTAACGACCCCTATCACGCCTCTGCCAACACCTTCACCATTTCACCCAGGATGAAACATACAACGGAACAACGGATATTAACAGACCATGACTTTAGCGTGATTATGAATAACTTACTTCTTACACCGGCACACCTTCCAACACTTGCCGGATTAAGATGGTGGAAAGAAGAACACGGCTGGAAAGCCGAACACCTCCTGGCCTGGTTACGCTAGCAAGTAATAATTACAGCACGACTAGTTGCCCTCCGAAAAGGAAGTGTGAGAAAAAAGCTGTATTAAATTGAATAGGTCAATAATGATTTCTTAAATGGAAGAAAGAAGCTTTAATGCCTTTCAGCATGGATGTTTCTCTCGTTCTTTCTTTGCACTTTCTGGTCGTCACGCGAGTTGAGAATAGAATCGATTTTAATCCGGTCGCCCCCGGTTGCTTCCTTCTCGCTTTTACGATCCGTTACGAAAAAGTTTTATAAAGTAAGTTGTACGATCTAAGAGCTCAGCAATAAAATATAATGTTAGGTGCGGAGGTTGGTGCGGGTGAACGGTTGATGAAAGCACGATAGAAGAATAGTTAGAGATCCCGATAGTGTCATCGATTCGGGATTTCAAGCGTGTAGAAACGGCGACACGTTTTGCTCGGAGCAAATGTTGTGTGACCCATTTCAGCTAAGCTGGTGAGTTATTGGTATATAAGGGGTGGTACAAGGTTGGTATGCACTTGGCTCCAGGAATAGAGATGGGATTTACGGCATGTAGGATATTTATTGACGCTTATTTGACCTGATCACTGAGGTGTTTTATTATGCTTACACACTATGATTATTTTACCGAAATCTGTGAAATTTTACCGAAATTTTTCACAGAAAAATCACAGAAAATCTGTGAAAAATCACCGAACTGTTTACCAAACGTTCAGCTGTTGAGATTTCGGTAAAATTTCAAAGATTTCGATAAATAATCTCAGTGTGTAAATTGTTAGAAAACCAAATTGAAATACTAGTTTAGAAGTTTTGGCCTAGATTTAGTATTCAGCAGCAGGACAAATGAGCTGAAGTCACTGTTAGGATCAACAAAAGATTCAATAAATGTCTTAGGGAAAGCCGGTGTCTACAAAATCTCTTGTCCAGATTGCAATAAAATCTACATTGATCAGACGAAAAGTACTTTGGAAACAAAGTTAAAGGAACACATCGCAGAGGTAAAAAGGTTAACAAAGAGATGGATAAAGGACTTCATTATGAATTTAAATCCAATTTTGCAGAACATATCGTTACAAAGGGGCACAATTTGACTAAGGATAACATTAATATCCTGCGGACTGTATCTTCGCCTTGGAAACTAGACGTAGCTGAAAGTTCAGAAATATTTAAACATAATCCATCAACATTGCTTAATAGAGATCAAGGAAACGGATACTCGAGACTCTTTAGCATGCTGCCTAAAACAACACATCGTAGCTATATATGCTATATAAAAAAAAGGGTTTTCGCAATTTTGATATCATTAGATGTTTTAATAATATTTTGTACATGTTAGATATAAGAAGAGGTTGAAAGGGAAGTGTTTAGCGGCGCCGGTGATGTAGTGGTAAGCGTGATTATCTTTCACTCCAACAGGCATGGATTCAATCCCAGTCGGCGCCGCCGGGATGTTCTGAGGCATAACATCTCTGATCACGCCTTGCTTCGGAAGGGAAGTAAAGCCGTTGGTCCCCGGTTCATGAGTTGATGGGTCCATAGGTAGGGTCCAGGTGTGGGAGCTGCCTCCCTGGCATCGGTAGCATTGGTGCTCAGCACGAAAACAAATCAAGGGGAAAAAAGGCAAGTGTTTGACACATAAAATCTGGGAATTTTTCCTTATTAGAGGCACAACTCTCCTTTTTCTCCTTCACTGCAGCATGGGATTCGCTCATCCAGGACTTTTCACAACTGCTTCTTCGTACTGCCTTCGT